GGCCTCTAGTGTTGATCCTATTTTTCTTCTATGAACTTTATAGTTTTTGGCTTTATATTTAGGTCTTTGATCCATTTTGAATTAGTTTTTGTATATGGTGTGAGGTATGGGTCCTGTTTCATTTTTTTGCAGATGGACATCCAGTTTTGCCAGCACTAATTTGTTAAAAAGACTGTCTTTTCCCCTTTTGGTGGACTTTGGGCCCTTGTCGGAGATCAGGTGACCATAGGTGGGTGGATTTATATCTGGGTTCTCAATTCTGTTCCATTGGTCAATGCGTCTGCGTTGTACCAGTACAAGGCTGTTTTGACTACCATAGCTGTATAGTAGGTTCTGAGGTCAGGCAGTGCGAGTCCTCCTACTTTATTCTTCTTCTTCAGTAGTGCTTTACTTATCAGGGGCGTCTTCCATTTCTATATAAAGTTAGTAATTAGTTTTTCCATCTCTATAAAGAATGTTGTTAGTATTTGGATCGGGATTGCGTTGTATTTGTAAGTTGCTTCGGGTAGAATTGTCATTTTCACAATGTTGAGTCTACCTACCCATGAGCATGGTATGTTTTTCCACTTATGTAGAGCTCTTTTGGTTTCTTGCAGTAGTGTTTTGTAGTTTTCTTTGTACAGGTCTTTTACATCCCTGGTTAGATTTATTCCTAAGTATTTTTCTTTTAGGGGCTATTATAAATGGTATTGTTTTCCTGATTTCCTTTTCATCATTCTCTTTATTGGTGTATGCGAATCCAACTGATTTTTGTATGTTTATCTTGTATCCTGCTACTCTGCTGAATCTTTCTATTAAGTCTGGTAGTTTTCTCATGGAGTCTTTTGGGTTTTCTATCATATCATCTGCAAATAGGGACAGTTTAACTTCTTCATTACCAATTTGGATGACCTTTATTTCTTTTTTTTTTTTGCCTTATTTCTCTAGCTAGGACTTCCAGCACAATGTTAAATAGGAGTGGTGATAAAGGGCATCCTTGTCTTGTTCCTGTTCTCAAGGGGAATATCTCTTTCTTCTTGTCTAAGTGGGGTGGAATTTCCCTTGCACATCCACCTTTTTGAAGAGATTTATGAATAGTAAAGGGTTCTCTGTTAAAGGAAATACTTCAATTGTAATTTGAAAGATGAATGGGTTCTAAGGAACCAATGAAATCCAGATTTTCTCTCCAAATTTTCTCATGTTAAGAGCTATTCTTTGTGAGAAAATCTCAAAGAAGACCTCATAAAGAAGACAATGTAAGCTCGTCCATGATAAATTCAACCATCACAATTTCCACCCACAAGATTGGTGGTTGTCCTCCTCTTTAAATCACAACTCGCACTTAGTCTGATCTTCTGTGCCCTTTTTCCAGAATGTGTCATCCAGATCATTAGACTGACAATCAATCATTTAAAGTACAAAAACAAGTTTACTACACTGCATGGCTTTGGGGGAACAAGCTAGTTATG